CATTTAGACGAGCCTTGCACTTCTTCAATTATATCACTGTTTAGTGATTCCTTAATTTTGATTGCAACATTCTCTTTAATGGGGATCGGTACTCTCCACTTGATTTATCCCGATACCAAGTTTTAAGACACCCAGACGGACTGCTGTGTTCTTACCCAACAGGTCTCTAGTACCCCCCGAAATCACGTAAATGGTTGTATGTTCCTTTCGTCCATCGACTTCGAGTATAGTTTCAAATGAACCCTCTATTGCCAAAGGAGAGTTACTACCATAATATGCTAATAATGTCTTGTCTGGTCTTTACATTTGATTAAAAGCATATACTTTTTTGCTTTTTTAACTCTTCCCACGTTTTGTAAGATATAAGGTTCTTGCGCAATTTCGAATTATACTTTTCCGCAATTAGATCTATGAGATGATCATCTTGCTTTTCGAATGCACACTTTTCGGCCTGTTGACGCAATCTTATCAAAAACTTCTGAGATTTTTCTCCTTTTTCCTGTTTTAGCAATCGAAAAACATGCCGCTCATAAACTTTGCTCCGTTTAGGTTGAAAATAATCGTCGAGTTTTTTTTTATGGCTACTTTAAATACATCCACGGTTTCTGATGATTCGACATTGGCACCCGGTAAATAGTAGAATTATATTTCTTGTATCCCAGAGCCACCAAAATGCAATAGCGTAGCTCGTTTCTTGAGTGCTGATATAACTTCAGCTGTGTTCAGATAGATTAGTAGAGACCTTTTCCATTTTTCACACCTTATAGCCATAGATGTGCTATCACATTAAAGTTGATAACGGTATCATTATTATTATTATTTTAGTGTCAAACTGAAACAGTTTCTTATATATTTATTTCCAATTTAATGCTGGTATTTTAATATCCAAAGTCCAATTTAATGGTAGTAACTTAGTACCCAAAGTCCAATTTAATGGTGGTACCTACCTTAGTACCCAAACTACAATTTAATGGTTGTACCTTAGTACCCAAACTCCAATTTAATGGTGGTATCTTAGTATCCTAACTCCAATTTAACGATGGTATCCTAGTACCCAAACTCCAATTTAGTGGTGGGATCTTAGTACCCAAACTCCAATTTAATGGTGGTATCTTAGTACCCAAACTCCAATTTAATGGTGGTATCTTAGTACCCAAACTCCAATTTAATGATGGTATCTTAGTACCCATACTCAATTTAATGATAGTAATATGTTCCATAACACTCGCCCTTCTCTTTCGGTTTATTTGTTATACCGACTACTTCCATTGCTGTGACATTTAGGCTTTGGGTGAATTCAATACCTTTTTTCTCGTCGCCACTTGTATTGTCTGCTATCTTCTCTAATCACTGTAGTGTAACACAGACTCGGCACGCACTTAACTAAACACGTCCACTCTCGCCCGAGGCTCTCGTGTAACTGACGCGGTGCGCTCGAGACAGTGACTTATATATATATATATATATATATGCAATCACTACACCTAATATAAACATATAATAAGCGACAGTGAAACAAAAGCTGTAAGTAAATTAAACATTTTATTATGATTTTACATAAAGATTTTTTTTAACAGCTATCAAAATTACTAACATTACAAAACATGTCGATATAGTAATAATAGATAAATTGTGCGTGACTTATTTAATTAAATTTTATATTCTATGCTGGCAAAAATGAAGCCTTCTTAATTTAAATTGTTTTAGAGTATTAAAACGACAATGTGAAACGATAATGTGCTCTAGCTAGCCACATATTTTTTACCTGTAATATTTTGTATTACTATATTCATAAAGGAGTTTTTAAACACCAATGTATTCGAGTTATATATCCATTACTACAAAAACCTCTGGAAGATCAGGTGTTGTGTCATAGATATTTTTCTATATAAGAGGGGGCAAACTAGCATGCGACTCACCTGATGGTAAGTGACTACCGCCGGCCATGAACAATGGCAATACCAGGGAAATTGCAGGCGTAAAAGAGTAGGCTCTTTTCTTGAAGGTAGCGAGTCTTACTGGTCCGAACAAAATCGCTGGTATCATATTTAGAAGCAATTTCATTGCGTTCAGACAAGAAAATATTTTTTTTTACATAGATCTTCAGCAAATATTCATAACGATATTTCTCTTAAGGTGGAGTACATGGTTCAACTTTTTATTGACATGTCGATAACATTAAAAAAAATTTAAACATGAGTTGTGATTTTCGACAATTTATTTATATTTTATAATAGGTAAGTATTACAACAGTCAATAATACACCATTATTTAAATATTGGTCCCCTTAAGCTAATCATTTGAAGCTTCTTTATATAAAAAAAAAACCTTAAGTAATACAAATTATCACAATTAACCTATACTTCTATTATATGCTCCATGCGGTAGTTACTACGCAAAATATAATGTCTTCATAATTCACGACAATTTTTAAGAACGTAGATAAAAATTTCGTAAATAAAAAACAAAAAAATAAAACAAGGAAGATTTTGATGTAAGTTGCCTATTATATATGTACATATATGTTATCTTTGATACGTCTGTTAGTGTTATTTTAATGTCTGCTTATTTAAATTAATTAATAATATAAATAACACCCTATTTATCTAATTAATATTAAGTAATTATCACAGAGTTACAGTTGTAAAACGATACTGTGATATAAGAATTAAGATTGATATAATAAAAACAGTATTAATTATACTGTTTTTAAGATCATTGAAATACTTATAAATCTCATAATTTAATAAAATAAAAATGTATTTTGTCGCGTTACTTTTTTACTGTTTTCTCTTGGTTATTATTAAATTGTTTATTTAATAATAAAAGTTGACTTATTAAATTAACCTAAGAACATAATACACATCATCACACACATCGGTTCACATAATGTTTCCGTATTTGATTAATTGCATAAGTATTGGCTGTAATAATAATAATCTACAACCCTAAAATTTTCATGCATATATCTTTAGGTATAAAGTTACCTAAGCGCAGCTTTAAAGCCTACTGCGACTTTGATATAGGAAGTGCGTTCGCATCTGTTTAATTTGTTTTTTGTCTTTACTTTAACCATTTTTGATAGTGTTTGACCTGGTTTGGCCCAAACTCCATTTAGTCGTTTTAATAATATGAACTCTACATTTATGGTAACTAGTCATGTTGACGAGGACAAATGAGCAAGTAATGACAATCAAAGTCATATACTTACAAACACTATGATAATACATATAAAAACTTAATACTACTAACTTATACTATGGAATATTATATGAAAAAAATTATGCTAAACATTTTATGACTTTTAATATTTGGATCAAAGACCATTTTTGGTTATGCCATGCCAAAATGTAATTGCCAAACAAATGCCAATTCTTAATCTTTTGCAAAACTTCTCTGTAAAAAAAATGTTCTTAAAAAAAACAGAGGCAGTCTTAAAGACTGTTGCCAGAAGGCATGCATGTCGAGGTCATCGGTGACGCGAACCCATAAGTTTTTTCCCCTATCAAATATCGCTCAACGCGACTAAAGAAGTTTCCATTTCAAAAATTGGTAAATCTTCTAAATTTGGTTGAATTATTATTGAACTAAGCTGATTAGGCAAAAAGATAGAATGAGTAATGATCCGCCTCCTAATGATTTCTAAAAGAACTTTTAATTCTTTCAACGGACTCTGGAAACGAGCTTTTAAGTACGCTGTAGTAACTAAAAGAACAGATTTCACCTAATAAAGACTAATAGTAGATAAATATTGAGAGAAAACGCTTGGTTTAAGTACGCTCTCCTATTAAAATATAATATGCATAGAAATTACATAATCATATCAAGTTGTGACACATATTATTGTGTTCGCACGTTACATTTGATCATGTAAGACACTAATCATTTTGAATACGATCAGTAAAGTTACAGCCTATTTATGTCCCACAGCTGGGCACACACCCTCGAGCTCCCTTCTCACTTCCGAGAGGGTTTTAGAGCAAGAAAATGTCCACCGCGCTACCTTAATGCAACTTGCATTGGAATATTTTTTTAAATTTCTCAGATAAGCAGTTACCTCACGATGTTTTCCTTCATCGCCGAGTACGTGGTAAATCAACACCTAACATTGCAATTAATAATTTCATTTGTGCCGGGGAACCCGGATTGTTTGCGTACTGTAAAATTTACAACGAGAGCTTAACCGAAGAGATACCATGGTTCTTTGTCTAGTTTCAGTTATTCCTATATTAAAACGGTAGTGACAAATAGCCACAAAGAAAATTTAATTGTGACTATTATTTTATGTCCACAAGGTGCTCCGTTTTGCCCGAGTCCGTCGAGGTTAGTATCCTCTTACTGGTTGAAACCCGTTATACAACCACTGCTGTTTTACTACGACTTGAACGCTCTCTGAACGATCTTTTTTGTTTCATATTTGTTGCTGGTATCCATAGATTCAAGTAGCCTTGGACGTGTACTGTAAGCTCATACAAAGCTCATATAATATCAAAAATGTCTATTAATTGGTAGTTGAAAGGAATTGTAATGTTTGTCTAATACTGACTTGTCACCTCTTCTAATTCATATATTGGTGTATATTGAAGTACTATTCTATTTCTATATACATAATATACGTACTTTGAAGAATGAATTGCGAATAAATATCATACAATAGTGATGCTTACTTAAACACTAAATTGCAGGTACTTGAAAAATTTTCTTAGGACCGACTTTCAATCGTCAAAATAAAAGTTATCCATCAAATAAATTTTAACCTGACTGAATAAGAGTAATTTTTTATATGTTTATATTGTATTTTATCCAATGAATAACTTTTAACTGATGATTAAAAAAATCGCCCCTTAAGCTACTTAGGGCTTTTTATCGAACACATTTTTGTATCGCGTATTGTTTGAACGTTTTTAATCGTAAGTATATCAGTTAAGTTGCAACACTTTCATGTCATAGAAAGTGCACGCACTTTTATGGTCGAATGCCAGAAACCAAGCTAAGCTAGATTACTTTTTCTTGTTGTTTTTCCGTTTTGGGTATAAACCGTCCATTCCTTTGCCGAAGGGTGTTGCTGCATTTGTTCTAAGGTAGTAAGAACCTCTGGCCCTGAAATGATAATAATTTAGGTTTTAGCTGTAGTAAACTTCCATAGAAAAAATGATGATACATTCAACAAAAAAAATATATATTCGAAACATTATTTCATAATGCAAAAACTACCTATTAAGGTTTGTAATCGATTATGTAGTTTACTAAACAAAAAACATATATATATATATATAGATAGTGAGAGAAAACCGAGTCGCAACTACATTTTTAATTGAATTTAACCAACTACGAAATATTATAAGCACGATAGCTTCGGCTTGACGAGCACTCGGATAAATTCGGGAAAACTTGGGAAGCACCATTCTTTCCTTTCGAAAAATCATCATCATCATGATTACAGCCCATTACGAGTCCACTGCTGAACCTGTCACACTGTCTCTCCCAAGGAATACCACGAAGCATGGTCCTGAACCACTTGCATCTATCGACTTCGTGCATATCTTACCAGGTCGTCACTCCATTTCGAAAAATATCTGAGTAATGCGGCTGTGTTTCGTATGGTGAGTGTAGGTAACCGGAAACTTTGTTACCAGTAAAAGGGTTACCGGTAAAGAATCATTCTGTCTTTGTCTTTAGAAGTACAATCCATCTACATTGTGATTCTTCATTGAAATAGATATGTTCATGCCCATAGCAGCAGCAATAGCAACAGCATCCACTTACCATCAGGTGGAATGTGTGCTCATTTTGTCACCCTTTTTCTTCTTCATCAAGAGCGCATAAAAGTCCAAACTTGGACATGTATGGACCTCTCCGGTTGTAGGGAAGATTTGCCTTAACCGCCCACACCTGGTTGGCCGGACGTTGATAGCAGTAGGAACCTCGAATCTTTGACACTGCAGCTTTTCGCTGATATGTGGTTATTTACTGTTTGGCGTAAGCGAAACGATTATACCACCATTCAATTCAATCCATGACCCATTTTACTGTAGATGTCGTATGGATTTATCATCATCATCATCATTACAGCCCTTCAGAAGTCCACTGCTGAACATAGGCCTCCCCTAAGGAATGCCACAAAGCACAGTCCTGAGTCACACGTATCCATCGACTTCCTTCATGTCTTTCCAGGTCGTCACTCGGGGAGACGCCCTAAAGCTTACTAATCCATTGGACTATGCCAGTCTCTCTGGATCTACTGCGGATATCCTCATTTCTAAGTTTATCACGCAGAGAAACTCCGAGCATACCCCTCTCCGTAGTTCGCTGAGCGACCTTAAGCTTCCACTGCATGCTGCTGCTTCCTGCAGTGAAGGACCACGTCTCAGTTCCATAGGTCATCGTATGGATTAATTAAAGAAAAAAAAATGTACTACACTAATAGACATAATACTCAGTTGGGCCGTAAGCAGCGGCCAAGTAGTCAAAAGCTCACATCTATGGAAGAGGTCTATGTTCAAAAAATGTATTGTCCGCGGATGTAATGATTGATGATATTTTGTTTAAATTAATTTGTACAGTAAATAAGTAAAATATTTAATTGAAGTTTAATTTTTTTACCTGGGATCACAGTTCGCACCCATGTAGACCATGCCCGTTTCAGGTTTAGGATTTTCCTTGAATTTCTGGTAAGATTCCGCAGGAGAAGCTGGAAACGCCTCAGGATTCCTTACTGACTCAGCGTAAAATATCCATGAACGCCAATGGCTGCAAAAATCTGAAAATATTTTGACCTTTGTACAAAAGCATTCAATGATATTTTTGACAAAATAAATATTTTTCTTTTGAAAGATGAATATAAAAATAGTTTATTGATGTTCTATAGTCTTTTAAGTTTGTGCTTGCGTAAAAGAATCTGTTTTAGAAAATATCTTCTTTTCTTTCATTATCAGGGCGGTGTAAGAATATTCATTACTCCATAGCGTCTCGTGGGTGTCGTAAGAGGCGACAGAGGGAAACAAATTAGGAGATGGGCAGCAGCATCTTCCTTATAAAATCTAAAAATAAAAATTGCGGTTGCCGACCCGCTTGCCAAGTGTAGCAACTACGGCAAACATCCTCCATATGAAGTGATCTATAGGGGAGACCTATGTTCAGCAGTGGACTAATAGGCTGTAACGCTAACGGTTAAAATAGAGGTTAATGTCCGAATCACTCTCATAGGAGGGAGGACTTGCCATAGTCATCAAGAGCTGGTTTCTTAGCCATCGCAGTATCAGACGTCTCACTGTTGACGTTGTTTCGTTGTATTATAGCTGATAATAGATATTAAATTATATTATTATACGATATCATTGCCATCTATCTGCGGCTAACATATCTTCCAGTTGTTTCCCTCAGTTTCTCTTACTACACCTGCGGGATGAATTCGGATGATAGTTTCTTTCGTAAATTTTGATGCTGTACGTGGTTTTAGCGTTGTTATCATATTATTATACAATACATCATTATAGTGTTCCGCGGGCTAGGCACGCGGGATGGGTCGTTATGGCCGGACGCGTATGTATAACATTCTAAAATTATTTTTTAGCATACAACGGAAGTTGCGCGCGCAAAGAAAAATTAGAGTGTAACGAAAATTCGACAGAATGAAATTTGCCATTAAAAATAGTTATAACTGTTTAATTTTCTGATTAAAAAGTTGTAGGCAACATTTCGTTTTTCAAGGTATAATAAAATAATAAATAAAATATAATATTTATTGGTTCTGTTGAAGATCATCTCCTCATGTACAAACCCCAGTAACGTGGTTATTATCAAAATCAGAAGTTGAAGTTGTGACAATGAAACGTTTAGTGCTACGATCACCGTTCCGCCTAACCTAACGATTTTAGAGCTACTTGCTACCGTCGTAGTGAGTAGATAAAGATTTAAGGTATACGATGAGTAAGTATGGCGGTGTTCTGGCTCCGACATAAAAGCAGCATGTGCATGAAAGTTGTTTTCTTTTCACTCTGTCTGCTGTCGATATAATTAGATACATAACATTGCTCTTCATAAATATTTATCAATCTACTCACTGTCGTCGGTAAGAGGTATTGGTGCAAATCTTGGACAGCCAGGTTGTATTCTTTTGCCGCCATTAGGCCAGAAGTCTGCAGACCCGGTGCGCACCGGAGCGCCGTACCCTCCCGCGTCAGTATGAATGACGTCCACAAACTCGGCATCATTCTCGTTTATATGTTCCATAACCACGCCATCTGGGTAGAAGGCTGGGAAGGCTGGGTCGAGGGCTGTAAGTCTAGAATGTTTTATTAGATTAAATTAGTGCATAGCTTTTAAGATGGGCTCCTTTATTTCTGCCCGTATGAGGAAGCTTAAGGTCACTCCTCGAGCTAAGGAGAGGGCCACGCCTGGTGATTTTCTATGAGATGGAATTCTAAATCAGCAGTAGAATCAGTATAACCGAAATAGCCCAACGATCTGTAAGCAGAAGTGGCAATGGGTAAGCCATATAGTTAAAAGAACCGCTAACTGAAAAAAAGGGCTCGAGTGGCAGTCGTCACGGTAAACGAAGTGTAGGGTAGTCCCAAATTAGATGGGGTGACGACCTGGTAAGAGATGCAGGTAGTTGATGACTACAGGTTACTCCATTTCATGTGGTATGCCCAGCAGTGGACTTGTGATTTACTGCAATGATAATAATGATGATGATGACATCAGCATTTAACCTTGGGCCTGTTAGTTCACTTAAGCTTAAGTTCGCTTGTCGTTGTGTTGTACGCGAGTCCAAGGTCGGTATTTACTATAGGTATGAAAATATATATACTTAGATGTAGTGTTGAAAATATTCATCAGTTTGATTATTTTGGGCCAGGGAGGTCGGGTGACGCAACCCGCTGCCACACTATATATAAGGACGAATGTCCTAAAGTTTGTGTGACTAAATTCGTTAAGCATACCTTAATTCGCATACCTTCGAAGCATGGTGTCACCAATAAAAATGTTAATTGTAACATTAAGTGCTTATTTACGACGTGCTCGTTGGTGAAGGAAAACATTGTGAGGAAATTAGCATGTCTGCTCCATTACTCTCTCAGGTATGAGAGGATGCTTATGTCATGCCAGTGGATCTTATACAGAATGTCACTTTAGTATTTAGTTCTTTGTCCTTTCTAAAAGTGATTAGGATCAATAGAATTTCATATACATATTTTGAACTGTAGTACAAGGTGAAAAGTAAAATATTACATAATCTTTTACTTTATTTTCATAATTACTTTTTACATAAATAAATTGCTTGAATGCTAAAGTGACAAACACTCAGACCCGTAAAAACTATCAGTAGTTAATACAAATACTTGTTATGAGCGGTAACCGAACCCAAAGCGCCGTAGCAAAATGATTATTCAAATCGCTACCAAGCAAAAAATTGAGATCTATATAAAAATACTTTAAATGTTTATTTAATTTGGTGAACAACTTTAGAAGGTAAGGGGGTGTAAATATTAGAACAAACAGACAGAACGATTTAAGAGGATTCCTTATGTGACCGCGGAACCCTGAAGACGACAAATTACAAAGAAGAGAATAAAGATAGTAAAATTTTCAAATACCTTTTAACGATTTTGTTGTATTTGTTTCGAAGTTCTCGCGCTGTGTACCCAGCGACGTGGCTACCAAGTGAGTGGCCTATTAAATGTAACTTATCTAAATTCAAACCACCTTCTATTAATTGGTGGAGGTATTCAGCTGTAGTTGCACCCACCTAAAAGTACAAAATATAAAGATTATTACCAAAATATTACATATATAAACACTAGCTATCTCTACATACAATAAAAATATTAACTGCGATTTTAGTGCTATTTACTACGGGCTCGATGGTGATATAACAATACTGAGACAATTTACATGTCCGTGAATTAGAATATTTCGAAGAAATGTGAAGTTCGCCAAAATGTACTGGAGCAATCTGGTTGAATAACTAGTCCAAAACCTTCTTACAAATGAAATGAGAATTGTGCACAGCCGTAGGATTAGCTTAGGCTGTGACATCAATTTTTATTTAACTGTGTCATTTCAAAGAATTTGAACTTTATTTTATCTCGTATGAATGAACTCCTTTCTTTATTTATGTTATCTGTCACCGATACAGACGGTAGCGAAAGTCAAGTCGCGCTGCAGCTAAACTCTAAGTCCAGCTCAACCACTTCGTCACCGATTCGTCCTTGTGGTCGTAATAAATAATTATCTTGTGTCGATAGCTTTGTAAAGTATACGTACTTTAATTGTTTTTAATTAACTTATAAATATTCTGCTTTACCAGCAAGTTTTTTTTTTCAAAGAGTGTGTAAGTATTGCTTTCTCACGTTTTTCAACGGCCCTTACTAAAAGTATAATTTTATGCTAGTAGCATTTTTGCTATCTTATGTTCTTAATATAAATTGTTTATTGAAGAATAAGAATGGAACTCTATGTGCTTCGTTGTCCGATAATCATGTTGTCATGTTGTCTTATGAAAATATGTACTCTTTCTAAAACAAACGACAAAACATTTATAGAAAGCTGTATCTAACTAAATATTAGTTTATTTATTTAATAATTATTATAAATCTTATAATAAGTGATATATAGGGCGGACTTAATGCATATCTATAAAATATCTTATTCAAGTCGATTGGATGTAATATCTACGTAACTCAATCAAAGCGGAGCCCGACTCGGACTTGTCCGTTTTATTTTTTTATAAAAATGTATTACCTTTTTTGTGTTTCGAGCTGCGTTGACCAAGTACGAGCCATGCGCCATATTCGACCAGTCTAAGAGCACGACATTAGTATTCGGTCTCGCCTCCAGATATGCGTTGACCATGACCTGTGTGAGCGAAATTTCAATTCGTATTTGATATGGTAATAAAGTAAGCTTTAGAATTATTTTGTCAAGGTAACAAGCAGTATGTAAAATAGATATATTATTTTATTCTGATATAGAATGGCAAAACTTTGAATGTATGTTGCGATTTTTTTTTCGATTGATGTCAATTGCTGAAAATTTGGCTTTCACACTAGGTAGGTTGAACTTATACAAATTCTGATTGTTGGTGTTAGGTAGTGTGATCATTGGGAATAGTAGCGATTGCTCTTTTCTCTGAAATTGCAATTGCCAACCTACTTCCAGTGTACTGTGAATAGTGTTAGTAGCGATTCTGCCATAAGAACTTTATCAGCGGCAACACGAAGGTGAGTGATGTACTCGCCACTAATGTTAATACCGTATGCCAGTCCAGTAGCTTGGAATTGTCTTCAATTCAAGATTTTCGGGTATATAACGTCACCCTGCCTTACTCTCGTTCTGTACTCGGATTGCCGTCGTAGCCCTACTGTACAAGCACTTCAGCACTTCGATATACCGATAGTCAACTTGGCACCGCTGAAGGGACTACAGCACCGCCCTAATTTCGATGGAATCAAAGGCTTCCTCATAGTCTACATACGCAAGACAAAGTGGCAGAATATGCCCTTCGGTGTTCTGTAAAATTTGCCGAAGGATATAAATGTATGTGGTCTATGGTACTAAGGCCTTTTCGGAAACCGGCTTGTTCGGGAGGCTGGAAGTCGTCGACTTTGTCTGCTAGATGATTCGTAATGATTCTCGAAAACAGCACGTAGACGCGGCTCAGAAGGGGAATCAGTTTGTAATTCCATCTTCGCCCGGAGTCTTGCTGTTTTTAAGGTGCTGGAGAGCCATTCTAATCTCGCTGAGACTGACGTTCGGGATACCATTGTAATACCATCGACGGCTCCGTGGCGCGGTGGCTTAGCAATCAGTTGTTGCGCTGGGGGCCGCGGGTTCGAATCCCGCACGGAACAAGTATTTGTATGGCCTACAAATAATTGTTCTGGGTCTGGATGTTTGCCCTTGTGCAATTTATGTTTGTAAACAGCCTCCACGACACAGGAGAAAATTCTAGTGTGGGGGTAACGTTTTTAAAAAAAAAAAGAAAAAGAATAGTGTGGGGTAAGACTTGCTCTTTGATTGTTACTCACACTTGTTTGAGATTTTTTGGGTTATACTGAGACGGGTCTTACAGAACTTAGCTCCGATCACATGACCAGTTTCTTTCTATGTTACTCATATCGTCCACTGCATTGAGTCTTTTAGGCACTTAAAACGATGTAGTAACTCGAGCGTAAACATTTCGGGGCTTTGGATTAAAGCACGAGGGAGACGGAGCGTTGACTTCATTAGACCTCTCCAACGTAATGTTTAGGTTCAGTGTGCCTGTCATCATTCGGTGATCACTGCCAGTTTTCACCCTCGATATCACTGAGACATCACTGAACAGTTGCCGTCTGGTCATAATAATGAAGTTATTGTCATTTTTTGTCGAACCGTTCAGGCTTGACCAGGCCCACTTTCTGTGGGGCCGCTTCTGAAAAAAGAGTTCATCATAAAGCGTCCATCTTTCTCCTTGAAGTCAGTCAGCTGCTAGCCCTTGAAATCCGTTGCCCTATCCTGAATTTCCCCACCTTCAGCTCACTATTCTCTCTTGTACCTACTTTTGCGTTGAAGTCTCCCATTAATACCGTATAGTGAGTTATGGAGGAATGCATGGTTCTAGAAATATCCTCATATATTTCCTCCACCTCCTCATCGGAATGTGTTAAGATTATTGCGTAAACCTGTATGACCTTCAACGAATACCGTTTGGTGACTAAAAACTGCGACGAATTAAAAAAATAAGTTCTAATTTGCATGATTGCCGATGAAAGAAAACATCGTAATTCTTTTAACAACGTTTTTTATATGTTCAAGAAATTGAATTGTTAATTACATAAACTGCACATTACAGATAATTTTTGCCATTATATTAACTAGAGTACATTTGCAAGAAAAGTGAGAAGAATTTTCTTTTCTTCTTTCTATGAATTCATTATTAAAATATGAGGTCATGTTTGCGCAGGTAAAACAAAGTCAAAGTTTAATTTCAAGTGATACGCTTTTGTTATACAGTTGCCTTAAGTGATGTCGCAAAACCAGTATTTCCACACGGCGAGGAAAACTAAGAGCAAGCAAATTGATATGAATTTGTCTTATGTAACCGTAAACAATGCCATTATTATAAAAGTCACGACTACAGCATATTACTTATAAAATTGCCTCAGTTACTTAAAAAAAACACATAGTTACGTAATACGAGTATACTTGAATAATATTATGTACCTTAAGATTGTTTCCTCATCCGCTGTGGAATGGTATAATATGGTTTTATACGTGGTAGAGCCATGCTGCAGCTATATTAGTAGTATAGTTGTAGCACGAATGGGTCGGCTCGACCGGGGAAGGACCACGCTCTCACAGAATACCAGCGTAAAATAGCAGCTTAATGCTGCTGTGTTTTTTATGGTGAGTGTAGAGAACCGGAGAGCCTTTTTTACTGGAAGAGAGGCATTCCATCTTAGTCCTCACGGGTGACAACGCATCTGCATTTTGATTCTTTATTGATGATAAATGTAGATGTCTATGAGTCACAGCTACCACTTACCATCAGGTGGACTGTGTGCTCGTTTGTCACTCTATCCTATAAAAAAAATTCTGATGGAGATCGCATGACTGCGAGAATTATTCCGCAACTACATTATGATTTATTTTGTAGGCATAAATTAAACGTCGACTAACAATCGATGCCGATACACTTACAAAATACAATCAAATCAAACTTCAAAAATCCAGGTTTCCCATCAATCACTGTCGGTTAATAAGATTGCGGTAAAATTAACCAATGTGAAGATTTAATAATTAATATGTACCGATTCTACATATGAAACATAAAACAGTCACCTGAATACTCTCTTGTTGCGCCGTCTCGATGAAGCCATGGATGTACAGAACAGTGGCATTACTTCTGTCGAAACCTTTGACATCGAGTAGGTCGATAGCGTTGCTTAGTGGAATGTCAACGTATACGTCGGCGGAGCTCCTATAATAAACGAAAAAATAAATTATAAAATTAATTTTAGGCTAAAGTAAATTTAAAAAAAAATTGCTTGATTTTGACGTGTCGAGACTACCTAATGCCGTCAAAAACATAACTTGTAAAAAAACCAAGTCTTGCAACTCAGTTCTTCTACCGTAAAAAGTTGTGAGATCCATGTAATACCAAATCGGTTAATCTATTCACTCCCTACTTAAGGGTCCTCCTGTCTTAAGTTATTACGTAATTAGCTAACCTAACAACATCTTGTAGTGACCATGTCAATATTAAAAAATCTTTTATGTTTTAAATAAAGTGATATATTATATAGCGGTAGTTATTTTTTATAAAGGTACGTCAACATGATTCATGTTGTCGAGATGAAAATGCAGCAGTGGCTTTGCAGAGTAATCAGTCTCAATAAGATAGATACACAACGAATACGTGCCTAGGCATACAATGGAACATCCTGGAAAACTGCAACGTAGCTACTATTGTTTGGACATGTCAGATGGAGATCATTTGAGTACACCGGTACCGCGACATTCAACTTCAACACACCTTATCAATGAAAAAGGAGACTGCCAAAATTGCGTTCGTTAAGAACCTTACAGAAGAGTTCATGATAAGGCGAAGCGAAAACAAAAAAGTCGGATAACCTTTAAGGAGAGAAGCTTGGTATCAGCTTTGTTTAAACTGAACGGACAGCAAGACCGTTCTATCTATCCTTACCTAGGGAGCCTCATTTTTACGTAAACGTTTTTTTTTCAAAAATGCATGAAAGCGGGGAATTGAACTGTCTCTTATCCAAAAAAATGATATTTACATTCACACTAAAAAGCTTTAGGTATTTTTATACCAAGGTATACCCTTTGTATCAACATAAAACATTCTTATAGTAATTTAGTTGCAAACGGAACAAATAGTCTGTCTGATAACAATTTAAGACTTATTTCAACGAATATGATTGAAATAGAAGGACAATTTTTAAATTTAAACGATTTTTAAATTTTAACTTTCTAACGTTGGCATGTTCAGTACAAAACAAACCACGAATCATTAAAAACTGCTACTATCAAACAGTGGCTATCTAATATAACCGTAAATTAGCGAGAGCAATAATGATATTTAAGGATTAAATTTTTACCGAAACTTGTTGAAAACCCTTTTTCTATGTAATACTTCAGCATCGTACACGTTTAAGTGCTTTCTCACTTCAATACAAACTAATAAGGGGATTCATTCCGAGTGAATACTTTTGATGTTCGTTAAAAGGATTCTCGGCATTGACTCTTTAACGAAGCCATTTCAATTCTAATTACAAAACGGAAGAGTATTTTCGATATCATACGAGGAATGAAAGTTGGCTTCTTCATCCCTTATCTCTCCCCCATTTCCTTTGTTACGAAATATAAAAAAAATATAAAATGTATATAAAACAGGTTCATGTAAAACAAATTTATAAAGTAAGAACTTTTATTGCAGATTCGGTTTATTGTTTACCAATTTTCGTGCTTAGCTGTTAACTCAAAAGTAGATAGTGCTCTGTTTGAATTCTGAACTAACACACATAACATAAGTTAAATATTTTAAAATATGGTTTGAATAAAATTTACAAGGAATGACAGAATATACATAAACTTTAAAAATAATATTAAAAAAGAGCTGAATATAAATGTAATCGTACCCGTTATAATAGCGTAGATATATATCTTCAATCCGGTTTGATCTGTCTGGCAAGATACCTGAAATATGAAAATAAAATTTCACTGAAAATTATATGTACAAAAATTTTAATAATTAAGTTATAACCGCAATGCCACTACTTAATTATACTTTCTCAACTATTACTATTAACTTAATAATTTATTGTTATAATTACTGTAATAAACGAAATGAGTACAATAACCAAGAAAAAAAAATAAAAAAATGCAAAATAACCTTTGTTACCAAAACAAAAAAAATATCTTTATAGAGATCGTACCAATATTATTTACATAAAAATCTTCTACATCTCCTAACTTTGGTTCCCCTACAATAGTTGTCAATTGTAAACACAATAAGGTAAATATGGTAATAATACAAGTGTTCGCCATTGTGAGACTCTTTATGCATTGGCTAAAATATCAACTTGTAATGGCGTTTTAGAAAATTGTTCTCTAAGTGCTGTCATAATAATAGTCCGATCGTCCGCCCGTATGTCGACTATTTTTCTCGGGGTCGGGTAGAGTTAATATCTTGATATTGATATAGCCGGGTCAAATCACGGATTCTACAGCTATTGCAGGTGAAAAAACTCAAACCGATGCAATCAAAAGATACGACCATTTCATTGCAAGTTTCCTAAACAAACGCAATAAAAATAAACGACCATTTTGACACATATTTTGTACTCGCAAACTCACTCACCTATACTTTGCGCTGACCTAGAATTATGAAATTTACCAAGAAGTAAGGTCTCATAGCACAAGTAAAGGAAAAAGTACGAAACTCGTTAGTTTATGGTTATTTCATACAACGTGATGTAAATCGGTGTATGGGAGATAATGAGCCGACTTACATTTTCGTTTGAGTAATGTTTGGTGTTTAACTTACCTATAATTTCCAGAATGGATGAACTATTTACATAAACGATTAAGTTTATACTAGACCCTTAGCGAGTGAGTCATATTTGCACATGTCCGGTTCCCTCAAATGAATTTCATTTCGAAAACGTAAAATCTAAAGAATGTTTGGATACTCTCCGAGCAGAGACGAATAGGCACGAGTACAAACATGTATACGATTTGTATGGTTGTGATTGCTACTCGGCCCGAGTATTCATCTGTTCTCCACTCGATGTCGGTTTATTAGCACGAATCAAAGAAATGTTCGTGTGTATTCGTATCGGTGTTTACATATTCGTCATTATTCAGTTGACCCGTTAACTATTACTTTTATTTACTCAGCCGATCTACCGTTATAATTTTCTCTAATACCTTATTTTGACAAAATACATTAAAAATATAAGTATGTACTCGGTTCAGCTGAAATTTAAAATTTCACAAGAACGAAATTACTATTATCCATTCATTACAGCCTATAAAAGTCCACTGCTGAACATAGATTGCCTCATAGGCAAGATTTTGCCATAGTTGCCACGCTTGGCAGGTGATGGATTAGAGCAACGAATTCAGTATTAAATTTATAGAAATTTATCAAGGAGTACCCGCGATATGGAAACCTAAAAATCAGTTTTAAATAAATATTTTTATAGAGTCTGTAAAAGTTGTTTAAATATTGTTAAATGTTTAAAGATCTATGTTAAATGCATACAGACGAATATGTAAATAACTCTGCGAATTACTCGACCAGTTGTTCGTCCAATAATTTAAACGTGTCATTAGATAGAGTACTCGTACCAATAAGCGTGGTAACAATGTATATTGGGCTGCCGGAACCGATTGAAACATTTTATTAATGTTAGAGTGAATGAATTGAACTTCAATAATTTGCTGTTTTGTCCAGTTTCATGGCATTTATCGTAACGATTTCTTATTTGTAATGTTTAATTATACGACCCTATAATTAATAAAATAAAATTCCAACCCAAGCATATAACTGCAAGACTTCGAGATACTATACATATGTTCATACTGCATAGATCGGAGAAAAAGTTAATAATTTTAATCTGAAGGTAGCCGTGGTTAATTAACTATGACATCGGGACATCGAATGCTAAGTCCTCCCCGTGGCCATGGTCGGAAATAAGTTAATATACACGATAAAATTCGTAAAAATTAGTTTTTATTTATCTGTTGTAACTATGAATACGTGGTAGAGCCACGCTGCAGCATGCAGTTTTGGTCGACTCGACCGAGGCAGGACCACACACTAAAAATACCAGCGTGAAACAGCAGAATAATTGAGATACTCGTAACCGAAGATCCTCTTACTAGTAGCAAGGCACTACTTTGTTTTTGGCATAACATTGTATTACCGTGTATTGGCGGTGTAAGTATATTCTTGATATGGGCTAGTGGATATCCATTACGCCATATCATCCCGTAGGTGTCGTAAGAGGCGACAGAGGGAAACATTAGAAGATAGGCAGCAGCCTCTTCCTAATAACGACTAAAAATAAAAATAAAACGGCTTAGCTTTCTATTGACGTCCGTCAAATTGGAGTTTAGAGAATATTTTTTTTACAGAAAAGATACATTATTATAAGCACACAGGCAAAGTGCAGTCCAACATGCAGAAACGCATACTTTTTGAGAAAAAAATTATGGAAAATCAATTATTTTTGCAATATTTATGTCGATTCCTACCGTAAAACTGGCGCTATTTTGTATTGCCATTGTCATCGTCAGTAATTAGTGTGGTAGAGCCACGCAGCAGTTTTTGCTGTTGCACGTAAGGGCCGGCTCGAGCCGGGTTGGTACCACGACCTCAGAGAATACCGGCGTGAAGTAGAAGCTCTGCTTCTGCGTTTCGTCTGGTGAGTGCAGATGGCTGGAGGCCCAATTCCCCTCCCCCCCCCCCCCCATCAACATGGTAGCGAAATTACACGATAGCCTACCCCAGGAGGGTACCAGTACCCCTGCAGAATCCCTCGCTGAGCATCCACGACCATGTTATTCCAATCCTGAGCGTGAGTGCTCAGGCTGCCCCGCGTATTCTGGGGGGCGGGGGGAGGGGGGGCAAAATTCCGCTCAAAACATAACCGCTCGGGGCAAACTGAGCAACAATACCAAGGCGACCCCTGCCACACTACCCGTGAATTTCTGCAACATCAGGGGACTTCACTCTAACCTAAACGCCGTCCACTACCATCTCGAGACGGCAAAGCCGGCCTTGCTCTTTCTGACCGAGACGCAGGTTTCCTTTCCGGCTGATATTTCGTATCTCTCCTAGCCGGGGTATAAATTGGAGCACTCCTTTGTGCCTCGGGCTGGAGTTTGCGTGTATGTCAGAGAGGACATCTGTACTCGACGCCTCGGTCGTCTTGAAGGTTCGGACCTGTCCATCCTTTGGCTACGCGTAGAGAGCGACGACCATCCGCGCGTCTACGGGTGCCTTTATAGGTTCCATAGCGGTAATGCCGAAACAGACCGACTCATCGACCACGTCCAAATGGCTACAGATTCCTTGCTACAACAGGGCCCATCCGCAGAGATCGTGATCCTTGGCGATTTTAACGCCCACCATGCCCAATGGCTTGGTTCACGTTTAACCGATCATGCGGGGAGATCTGCTTATGACTTTGCCTTGGCATATAGTCTGACATAACTGGTTACTTCGCCTACGCGGATTCCAGATGTGGAGGATCATACACCTTCCCTGTTGGACGTTCTGCTGACCTCTCATCCGAACGAACATCAGGTTTCCGTCGATGCCCCTCTCGGCTCTTCGGACCATTGTCTGATCCGGAGTATGGTGCCACTTACGCTCCCTTCGCGGTTGCGTTCTGCAGGTTGCCGCCGTGTTTGGCATTACAGGTCGGCGGATTGAGACGGAATGCGGTCTTTCTTTGCACCCTACCCATGGGGGTGGGATTGCTTCTCGCCGGATAATCACAGTGCTGTTGCTAACTCTGTCACCGATGTGGTGCTACAGGAAATGGAACTATTTATTCCATCATCTGTGGTACAGGAGGCAGATCTCAGCCTTGATTTGGTCGCTCCTGTAAGACTGCATTACGCAGTAAGCAGGAGTGTTATCAAGCCTGGGCTGCGGCTTCGGCGACTCGGGATGTAAATACCAGAACACTTAAAAAGAAGTATAACTTCTCCTCCAGGTCCTTCAAAAGAGTTATTGCCAAGGCAAAGTCAGAGCACATATGCAGAATTGGCGAGAAACTAGTTCGCCTTCCTTCGGGAACCCGTGCGTTCTGGTCTCTCGCCAAGGCTGACCAAGGGAATTTCTGTAAGCCATCACTACCATCTCTGCACAGGGAGGACGACTCACTGGCCCTAGATGCAAAAGACAAAGCCGACCTTTTAGGCTCCCTTTTTGCGTCCAACTCGAATCTTGATGACGGGGGGAAAACACCGTCGACCATCCCGCGGAGTGAGTGCTCCATGCCGGATGTACTGTTCTCATAGCGCTCGGTTCGCAAAGTACTTCTCTCCCTGGACATCCAGAAGTCGAGTGGGCCTGACGGAATCCCCCCAATTGTGCTGAGGACGTGTGCTCCGGAGTTGGCACCGGTCCTAACGCGTCTTTTGCAGTACTCCTACTCCCAAGGCGTAGTCCCGAATTCATGGAAGACAGCTTTTATCCACCCGATCCCTAAAAAAGGCGACCGCTCAGACCCATCCAACTATAGGCCTATCGCGATCACCTCCTTGTTCTCCAAAATAATGGAATCCATTATTAACTGCCAGCTCATCCCGTACCTCGAGGATCACTAGCTGATTAGTGACCGCCAATACGGTTTTCGTCGGGGTCGATCAGCTGGTGATCTTCTGGTCTACCTGAGCCATATATGGGTGGAGGCAGTAGAGCCCAAGGGAGAGGCGTTGGCCGTTAGTCTGGACATTGCGAAGGTCTTCGATCGGGTTTGGCACAAAGCGCTTCTTTCGAAGCTCCCTTCTTATGGGCTTCCCGAGAAATTGTGCAATTGGATCACCAGCTTCCTTGCAGATCGGAGCATCAAGGTCGTTGTAGACGGTGCATGCTCTGACTACAAGCCTATTTACGCTGGTGTTCCACAAGGCAGTGTGCTATCACCAACGCTGTTTCTTTCACATATCAATGATAT